CTTAAAGTTCCCTTTTGAGATTGTGGCTTCTTGAGCTTTTCAGATCTTGTTCAGTGACCTACAGTTATGTGAGAGACACCAGGTGTACATAGAAGCTCATGGGAGAATCCATAAGTGTAAACAAGCATCTTAGGAGTGAGAGATCAAGTCCACAGAGTATCCAAATCTATGACCACAGCTATACCTGTAACATGTGATACTGGAGTAGAGTATTCTTGTCTTCCTCTTAACCCAAGAACTAACTCATCAGGACAAGATGATCCAAATTCTGGAGCTCCACCAGGGCAGTTTCATTTTTTACATAGGATCATGCTGAGTCATCAGCCCAGGGTTACTGGGAACCCTCTCACCATCATCGAGGCATCTTTGAGACATTTGAGGTTGTCCAGAGCAGAACGATGTCAGGCTCACAAGAGTGGTTAATTCTGCTTCTGTCTCAGTATAAGAGAAATGAGTCATTTTGCATTTATTCCTCCCCTCACATGAGAGACGTCTTTGGTTTGTACCCAGACGAGAGTTCAAGTTTCCTGGTACTTGGGTGAAAAAAAAGGAAAGGGTCTGGGGACTCAAATAGATAAACTAATTGCTTCTATTTTATATGGCCATGAGAAAAGAGTTGGAGCAGTCAGGGTTCCTACCACGCAGGAACTGTTAGTCTAGACTGGCAATTGGATAAATGAAGCATGATATGGTTGGTACAGTGTATAGATGTGTGCAAAAGTACTCGGCCTTTATTTTGGCCACTTTATATTGTGACTTTTGATACCATCACCTGAAGGGATATTTATGAACAGAAGAGTTGTTATTATTTGTATTCTTTTTTACCCTCCTATTGTTGTATTGGACCGAGCGTAAAAAGTTACCACAAGACAAAAGTATGCCAGATTGCAGGGTCATTTATTATGCCGGCGACCACAGAGGACTCACGTCTCTCCAACCTGTGGTGGCAAAAGGAGGGTGCCACGATTTTTTATACCCGAAAAACCACCTTGGGAGTGGGGGTGAGGGGCGGGGATGGGGATGAAAAGGTTTCGGACATTTCAAGGGCTAGTGGATTCTGTAAATTACCTCCTGGGCAGAGATGAGGGTGGGGGTCTCCGGACATTCCAAGGGCCAGGGGACTTTTGTCATTCCGTTTGTTACTTAAGTGGTTTACAGAAGTCAAGATAAACATTTGTTTACACATTATCTGGTTAAGGTGGAAATCACAGACCTTAGTTACTTATTACAAGTCACAGGAGCCAGGATGGAACTAGCTTGGGCTGCTTAGTCTGGCAATTGCTGGTAAGCAAAGGCTAGCAATTCTGGCAGTTACTGATAAGAAAAGGTAAGCAGCTTTACATAGTGGCTAGTTTGCAAAGCAAACTAGCAGTTTTATTTACAGTAGCCAAGGCTAGCAGTTATTGTGAGGAGAATGGGGCAGCCATTTCAACTTATCTAAAAACAGTTTTGCATTTTATAAAATAGTTTTGCTCTGGTTCTGGCTCTAGGCCAGCACAATATCACACTATTAATACATATTTATCTGCGATAACATTACCTAGAGAACCTTAAGGAATGTATTTAAATTGCTTATTAGTATATGTTAGAAAATTGACATGGCAGTGACTAAAAAAAATTAGCTACACAAATTCTGTGATTTAAGTTTCTCTTAGGTAAACCTAAAAAAATCAGAACTGGAAATACCCTAGTGGCGTAGAGAGCAGAATTCTACATAGGGTTCACTCCCTGCCCCAGTTCTGTTAAGAGTCCCCCTTTTTGGAGGCCTTATTTAGGTCTGACGCCAGTGTGGATCTTGCCTCACCGAACTGATGATACTGATTAGAAGAAATTAGTTTTGGCTGGTGAGTTCTGCAGCCTTTCTAGAGCTGGTGCCCCTAATTCCCTGAAACTCAGAAGCAGATAAACGGGAAAAATTAAGTATTTATTTTAGGGCCTTAGCTTTTAATTTTTTAATTAAAACCAGTACTTGCTGAGACATTCCATGTAGCCACTTGTTTTCTGTTACTGCAGATTCAGTAGTTGCTCCATAAGTCACAAAAAAGTAAATATAAACACAATAAAACTTTTTCTGAACTACATTAAACTTCTGTATCCCTCTGATCTGTCTATATTTAGCTTTTGTTTTATACATTAAAAAAATAATAAATGACAGAGAAACAGAAGAGTAAAAATCCTGGGCTCTTTATCCTGAGACTTATTGAACACCTTGTACCAACTCCAGGGTGTTATCAGGATTAAATCAAATAATGTATTTTTCCCAGCACAACGCTCTGTAACGCTTGAGGATGTAGCACCTGCTTAATCAACGTTACACTAGTGCATGTGTACATGTCGTTTTTCAAATGCAGACTTATTCAAACATTACTATCTTCTGTTTTTTCTCTAAACTTTAAAGGACCAGCAAAGAATATGATACTTGAGGATGGAGATTGGTTGTGTTTGTGTTGTGACAGGAGAGCTGAGTTTAAGGGATTCTGTGCTGTGCCAGCTTTCTCCAGCTAATGCTAATGGCCCAGGAAGAGCAACATCAGCATTGACAGGGGACTGATTTAAAACACCCATTCATGAACCCTTTTCAAACTTGCAGAGTGACATTACATAGAGTGGGACCAAAATTATCAAGTGATTTATAAGGTCATTAAAGCTTGAGAGGCAATGCTTAGCTAAATGGTTATCAGCCCAGCCCTAATTAGGATTACGTGGCCAAGAACTCTTACTTGTGCTCTTTCCACAGGTTCTGTTAATTGTTCTTGGTGGCAGCATCATATTGTGCTAAGTAAGGGCCTCATGTGACTCTAAAATGAGGACAGAATCAAGTACGAGGGGTTCAAGATACGTTCATAAGAGTTAAGTTCTTACCTTTGCATTGAAGGTTGGTCAAAGGGCCTATTTTGTTCAGGTTTAGTTGAGACAGGTCAATGTGGTTCATATTGCTATTATTGTAGAAAAAATTACTGGTGTCTGTGCCAGGGGAGGGCACCTGAGGACAAGAAAGGAGAAACTTAATTTTTTTTTTTTTTTTGACATGGGTTTTGCTCTTATTGCCAATTAACAATTAACAGGCTGAAGTGCAATGGTGCAATCTCGGTTCACTGCAACCTCTGCCTCCCATGTTCAAGCGATTCTCCTGCCTCAGCCCCCTGAGTAGCTGGGATTACAGGCATGCACCACCACACTGGCTAATTCTGTATTTCTTTTAGTAGAGACTGTGTTTCTCTATGTTGGTCAGGCTGGTCTTGAACTCCCGACCTCAGGTGATCTACCTGCCTTGGCCTCCCAAAGTGCTGGGATTACAGGTGTGAGTCACTGTGCCTGGTGAAAATTATATTTTTATCTTCATGGAGCATCTCATTGTTCCTGAATCTCTTGTAAAAGGGACAGAAGTGGGTGGACTTTTCTGCAGGTCTTGGTTTTCTGCCTGTGGGTGTGGTATTACCAGGTAAATGGGGTGCTGACACCTTCAGAGGCATATTCTCAAGATGCAAGTGTAATTTGTCCAGAGAATCTCATCTGAGAAGGAATTCCAAAAAAGGAAGAGAAAGAGGAAGAATTGGCTCTTTTTTTCACTTAAACCTGTCTCAGATCAAGAGCTGTGTCCACTCCTCCTCCTGGAATGCCATGCGTTTAGTACTTGCAAACTTCTCTACTCGATCTTTTCCTCCCTAGTGAGTTAGTTTCAATTACTTTAAAAATTCATTATAATAGTTAAGGGTCTCTGAAAAATATTTTTCCTATATACCAGAGCTTTGTTTACATTTTCTACATCATGGATTCTTATATGCCATGCAAAATTCTCATTATGAATTTATAATCTGCAGTATTATAAAAATATTTTCTTGGTACTGTTTAATTATGGAACGTGTGGATAGTCAAGATTTCTATTGGGGAAATTCGGAGGTCCTTAGTAAAGAAGGAGAATATATAATGTTGAGGATTTATCTGTGTTCTCCATTAGCTCTGTGCAGAAAGAGATTAAGAAAATGCTTATTTAAACAGAATTGCATTTATCACCCAGAAAGTTCTGAAAAATTTTTTTAGGAGATTCCTGCTCTCTAGGGTGCTGAAGGACTACTTAAAATCACTATTTAATAGTACAGTAAATAGGAGATGTCTGTATTTTGAACTTTGCATAAAATTGATGTTTCTTTATGGTTAAATTGAGATTATATTTTACTTTTGGGGAGCAGTACTCCAGCAATGATGCCGTGATCTTTTGTGTGCATCAGCACATCATAAAAATTTGTTCCTAGTGCAGTTGATGTTAATGACTGACTTGGTTAAAGAGCTCTCTGACAGGTTTTTTTCCTATAGAGTTAATCACTTTTCTCTTTATTAGTAAGTATCTTTATGCAGCTGATGTGCATAAACCATCACATTTAATTTGGCAGCTGCCTTTTTTCCTTAGGTTATATTTGCATATATGTCTTTGGAAAATGAAGGCTCTCATCTTTGTTTACAGCCAGAAAAACTGGGAAAAACACAGGCTCTTTTACTTACTGGATGTTTGACAAAATATTCTTGGGCCAAAAGCATTGGCATTACTGGTGAGCTTGTTAGAAATTCAGAAATTCAAACTTTCAGATCTTCTAAAAAACATTCAGCATAATAAGATCCCCAGTTTACTGTACACATTAAAATTTGAGAGGTACCTTCTAACTCAGCACATTTTTTCCATCTTAAAAATATACACAACTCATTCTGCATAATGTAAATATAGCGCTCAAAAATTTACGTGTTTGTATTCATGTTCTTTTATACTTTATCATTCAAAAAAGTATCATATATACACTGCTGTTATGGATCTTATGCTGTTCTTTGATCTGAGTCAAAGAATACAGTAGAGAAATTTCCATGTTGAAATTCATTTTATTGGATCATTTCAGTCACTCCTGTAAGTCAGAATCAGTTTTCTATACTGTTTTACTTTATCTTGAGCCAAAATAAAAATTCTGCCCATGGTTATTTAGTAAATATGTATGTGTGTGTATTTTTTTCAGGGACCACTGACATTTAGGGATGTGGCCATAGAATTCTCTCTAGAGGAATGGCAATGCCTGGACACTGCACAACGGAATTTATATAGGAAAGTGATGTTTGAGAACTACAGAAATCTGGCCTTCCTGGGTGAGGATAACTTCAACACAGAATTCCTAATATGCCCTAAACGTTTTATTTCTCTTTTTTTGTATAACTTGTGGTAGTTTATGCTTTCTATAAGTGAGTGTCAGATCCCTGTTTTCAAGAAATTTTTTGATATTTGTCCATGTAGAAAAAACTTTCTTTGGTACGTTTCATCTTGACCTGAACTTTCCACATTCCTGAGCTGATCGGTATCCTTCACTCTAGCTTAGTGATAATTACAGAAATTTGGTGGCATAAAATGTTGTTGCCCACACCTTAAAATTTAATTGCCACCACCAATTTTTTATTCAATAGTGCTGGATAGTGAAATTAAAGACTTACAAAATTTAAAGTATTTTCTAAATATTTAGAAATTTGTTATAAATTAGTAATTTGGGATTAATTTCCTAGAATATGCTATGACATCCTCTTTACTGAGCACATTAGTAGGGTAGTAATTGGAGAATATGAGCAAGATTTATGTTATTTATTTTTAATAAAACAGGTATTGCTGTCTCTAAGCCTCACCTGATAACCTGTTTGGAGCAAGGAAAAGAGCCCTGGAATAGGAAAAGACAGGAGATGGTAGCCGAACCCCCAGGTAGGTGAAAGTGAATACAACAGATGGCACAGATGAGAGGTCCAGAGTTCAAAGAGAAAGCCAGTTCTTGACATGGGGTTTGGGAAGCTATGTTCTAGAGGAAGTAGTTTCTGGGAAGCTCAGTTTTTGTTATTGTTGTTGTTGTTTTTCTTGCTCTCAGGTAGGGGCATCTTCTTTCTTGTGCTCTTAAATTCTCTAAAAATTCTACTTTCCCATCAGTGATCTTCCTTCAAGTTTACGATGAGAGCGAAAGCCCTCTTCATGGCATATAAGATACTGCACAATCTGATTTTCCATTGTTCTGGGGACACATGAATATCTGCATAATTTTGAGAAACTCTATGATAAACTATTTTTTAGGTTATCTTTCTAGATCATGTCTGAAATATGTGTGATTAGTAGTTTCTGTTCCATTTTTTGGTTAACTTTTCTGCACATTCCATCTTGTTTTTATTATTATAGCTTTGAAATATAGTTTGAAATTATAAAGTATGATGTCCCTCTGCTTTGTTCTTTTTCCTCAAGATTGCTTTGGCTAGTCAAAGTTTGTTGTAGTTTTTTTTTTTTTTTTTTTCTTTTGAGACGGAGTTTCGCTCTTGTTACCCAGGCTGGAGTGCAATGGCGCGATCTCGGCTCACCGCAACCTCCGTCTCCTGGGTTCAGGCAATTCTCCTGCCCCAGCCTCCTGAGTCGCTGGGATTACAGGCACACGCCACCATGCCCAGCTAATTTTTTGTATTTTTAGTAGAGACGGGGTTTCACCATGTTGACCAGGATGGTCTCGATCTCTTGACCTCGTGATCCACCCGCCTCGGCCTCCCAAAGTGCTGGGATTACAGGCTTGAGCCACCGCGCCCGGCTTGTTGTAGTTTTATGTAAATTTTAGGATTTTATTTTTCATTGTTGTAAAAAAAATGCCACTGGAATTTTGATAGGGAGTTCATTGAATCCACAGATTATTTTGGATAATATGGCACTTTAACAGTATTTATTCTTTCAATCTATAGATAAAATATTTTTAAATTTATTTGTGTGGGTCAGGCACAGTGGCTCATACCTGGAATCCCAGCACTTTGGGAGTCCAAGGCAGGGAGATCACTTGAGGTCAAGAGTTTGAGACGAGCCTGGCCATCATGGTGAAATCCCACCATCTGTACTAAAAATACAAAAATTAGCTGGGCATGGTGGCAGATGCCTGTAATCCCAGCTACTCAAAAGGCTGAGGCAGGAGAATTGCTTTAACCCAGGAGGTGGAGGCTGCAGTGAGCCGAGATTACACCACTGCACTCCAGCCTGTGTGACAGAGACTCTGTCTCAAAAAAAAAAAAAAATTATTTGTATCTTTTCCATTTTATTTTATTAATATATTTGTATTATAAAGATTTTTTTTTAACCTCCTTTAAATTTGTTCTCAGAAATTTGTTATTTTAATGCTATTGTAAATAAGATTGTTTTCTCTATCAGTTTGCCTTAAGTGTATGGAATCGTAACTTGTACGTTAACTTTATATTTTGCTAATTTATTTTTTATATATAACAGCATATGATCTACAAGCAGCAAGTTTTTACTCATTTGTCTTCAATTTCAATGAGTTTAAAAATTTTTTTTGACTAATTCTTCTGCCACATATTTCCAGTTCTATATTAAAATGAAAGCATTTACAGTGGGTACAGTATAGTTTTGCATTGGTTTCTGAATTTGAAGAAGCAGACACCTCTTTAAGTTTTTATAAACTGGTTTCAGGGGTTAAAGATTTTTGTTGTTGTTGTTGGGTTCTCAGGGTGATGCAATACCTGCTGGGTTTGTAGAGGAGAGAGGTGTAGCTTGCTCACAAGGATGCTGGGTCTGCACTAGGGCTCACCTTTATTTGACTTATTAACAGGGGCTTGGGTAGTTGTAATTTCCATTATATTTTGGAACAGACTGAATGTTTTTCTTGATGTTGCTCTGTAGGGCAGACAGTAGGGCAGGATTTTGTAATTGGGTCTACATATGGTAGGCTTTGTATCAGAATGTGGATGAGTATGGCTTTCACTGAATACCAGACAGAATTTTTTCAGGTCACTGTGTGGGTTCCTGTGTAGGCAGAACTGGCCATGAACTATGACTCAAAGAGTTCTATGAGTCATTGAACTGCTTCAGAAACCACAGTGAAGAATGAGGTCTGCAGGCCTATGTGGCTATAAGTGTGTATCTTGTTCCAGGCCTCTGGAAGGGCACGATCTCACCTAGACTGTGGCTGGGAGGAGTTTGGGATGATTACAGAGTAAGTTCAGAATTCTCAGTGGGACCAAATTCAGTGGGACATTTCCTGGATCTGTAGCCTAGAACAGGGGTCCTATATTTTTCCACCTGAATGAGGGCCTGCCTTCTGAAAGGAACACTCCTCAATCTTAGACTTTAGCAGAGTCTCACAACACCCTCTCTGGACCTCAAAGCTCTCTTAAAGGCACTTATTTTTGAGATGGGTTTTGGCTTCATAACCCAGGCTAGTCTTGAATCCCCAACCTTGAATGCACCATGTGTCTGTCATTACAGGTGTGAGCCATGCTGCCTGGCTCTTTCATAAAGACATTTTTGTCAGGGATGGCTGATAAATTTTCTTGCTGTGGGATGGTAAGCAAATAGGGCACCTTTTATTTTTCCACCTTACTGTTGTCACTCTCCCTATACATTTTTACTTTCTATTTTCTATTTCAAATTTTACTTTCTATTTCAATTTTTCAAACTTTTTAGATTTGAAGATTTAGGACATATGCATAATTTACATGTTATGGTTGATGTTATTTATAAATTAAAGTTTACAAAAAAGAATTATAGGATTTTTATCCACTTTCTTAAGCATATACCTGAATAATAACATAACTAATTTCTAAATATTTGCCTTTATATGAGGTGCTAACCATATTCTACAAAATATAATTTTTAAGTTTAGCAATGTAAGGCTATTGTTTTGCTTCTAAAGTTGGATGACAGCAGTTTATATTGTGTAAGAATAGCATATATTTAAAACATTTAAAAATTACTAGTTTCTTATAAACTTTTATTATAAATTTCGTTAGAATTTTTTAATTATACTTTTTTCTGAAATTTTATTGCTATACAGTGCATGCCAATGATTTGAAATACCTGCTTTCTGTGAGTACACAGTCACAGTCAAATATGTAATTATTTAGACAAATTCTTTTTTAATGGTACATGAATATTGCAAACCAGATTTTGTGAGTAAACATTTCTCTAGTTACTGTTTTGCAGTTTCATATTAGTGCTTTATTTAGTGTAGGTTTTTAAACATCAGTTTATTTTGACTTCTTGTTTTACTTACATATTATAATTTTAGACATTTTATAATTCTCTACACTTTAAGTCAACATGGGGTTTAATTAAAAGATTAATCAGCCGTGTGTCTATCACAATCATGTTATATATGTATGTGTGCTTTTATCTACAAATATGACCCCAGTTTTGGTTATGCCTTATTTTGTATATATTCTTTCTTAGCTGATTTTCAGTGATTGTCTTATATCTAAGTGAGTAGTCATGGAAATCGTCTTTTCACCATGTCTTTAATAATGAATATATATTTTCTTTGCATGAGAGAAGCACTTTTGTGATTTGAAGATAATTTTTGAAAAGATATGTAATTCTGCATTTTTTTAGTTTTTCTTTTAAAAAAGTTGTGAAAACATAACATAAAATTTACCATCTTAAATTCATGGAAGTGGACATTTTAGGACCAGGCATGGTGATGGTTGACATCTGTAGTCCAAGGATTTTGAGAGGCCAAGACAGGAAGATTACTTGAGCTCAAAATTTGGAGACCAGCTTGGGCAACATATGAAGACCCAATCTCTAAAAATAAATAAATAAATACATAGATACATACATAAAATTTTTAAGCCAGGCATGGTAGTGTGCACTTGTGATCCCAGCTACTTGGGTGATTGATGGGGAGGATTACTTGAGCCTAGTTGTTTGAGCCTGCAGTGAGCCATAATTTTGCCACTGTACTCCAGCTTGGGTGACACAGTGATATCCTGTTTTAAAAGTTGTGCATTTCAGGCATGTTAAGTACATTCACACTGTTAACGCAAAATACTTCTAAAAGGTTTACATCTTGTAAAACTAAAACCTCATACCCATTAAGTAATAACTGCACCTTTTACCCTCTCTTCAGCCCTTGAGAAATACCCTTCCACTTTCTGTTTTTATGAGTGTGACTACTTAAGATATCTCAAATAAGTGGAATCATACAGTATCCATCATTTTGTTACTGGCTTATCTTAGGTAACATAATACTCTAAACATTTATCTTAAAATGTGACAATATTTTCTTTTTTAAGGCTTAATATTTTATTGTATGTATATGTTACCTTTTAATGATATATTTATAAATCAAGGAACACCTGGATTGCTTCAGCATTTTGGTTTTTGTGAATACTGGTACAATAAACATAAATGTTCAAATATGTTTCCAGGTCCTGCATTGTATAGTTTGGACATAGATCTATAAGTGGGATTGCTGTATTTAATAATAATTCAATTTTTAGGTATTTGAGGGAACATTATAACATTTGTAAATAATGGTTGCATTCTTATTTTGCACCAACAATTAACATGGGTTTTATTTTCATTGCATCATCAATCGATTTGGTGTTTTCTAGAAAACTGATAGTGGCTGTAATAATGGGTGTGAGAGGACTCTGTTTGCATTGTGATTTTCATGCATTTGTCTACAAATTTGTATTTTTGTGCATCCTTTCAAATGCTTTTTTGCATTTATATCATTTTGACAAAAATTCTAAGTTAAGTTATACAACTTTATAATTCAGTTTTAATAGTTGTTTAACTCCTATCACATGTAATTTACAGATATTTTCACCAATTTCCTAGGAGGCATCATCACTCTTTTGAATGTTTTGTTTGATGTGCAGAAATGTTGAAGTATAGTGTAGTTCAGTTATTCTGTTCTTCTCTTTGTTGCTCATGCGTTTAATGCC